CTCCTTCACGTTTATTACTATAGCTTCAGTTTGGGAAGCTAACAAATTTGCAATATGCCACACAGGCGAATCTCTTGCGATAAAGCCACTTAAATCTGGAATGTGTTGGTTTTTTGAAATCAAGTAAGTAAAACGCACAAGTCCAAACGCCCACAATTTACTTATCCCTCAAGGATTGCGGTTAAAATTCACCAGTTTGAAATTTCATTTTCCCTAACCCTTCCCCTCCAACACCTTATTCATCTCCCTTCTCACTGGTCCTTGTTGTACCATGTGTACGGCTACGATCATTACTTCACCCTACTAATTCTCTTTCATCTTCCTCGTCTATTCCACTTTACATCAGCATGTGCTTTTAACCCTTCAAGCCCCATGCACCGCCCTCTTTTCTCGGCCCTTCTCCCGAGCGGCCACCCCGTTTGGTCACTTTTACCGTCGGCCCTCCATATGGTCAGCCATCTCGCTCAGCCATCCTCGCAGTTTGCTCTTCTCCCGGTCAGCCACCCCGGTCGGCCATTTTCACGGTCGGCTATCCCGCTCAGCCACCTTCGCGGTCAACTCTTCTCTCGGTCGGCCACCCCGGTCGGCCATTTTCACGATTGGCCTTTCACACGATCGGCCATCCCGCTCTGCCACCCTCGCGATCAACCTTTCTCCCAGTCGGCCACCCCGCTCGGCCACTTTCACGGTCGGTCCTCTACATGGTCGGCCATCCCGCTCGACCACCATCGCGGTCAGCTTTTTTTTCGATCGGCCACCCCACTCAGCCATTTTGGCGGCCGGCCCTCCACATGCTCGGTCACCCTGCCCGGCCACCCTCGTGGACGACCTTCTTCATGGTCAGCCACCTTCACGATCGGCCCCCTTTCCGTTCGGCCTTCCTGCTCGACCACGTTTGCGGTCAACCACCAACCCTCCATCTCCTCATATATTCCCTTCATTGGACTAAAGCTGTACTCGGGAATGAGGGACTACTGATATCAATGGGCACCTAGGAGAGCCAGCTACGAGGGCCTAACCCACGGATCAGGGCCCAGTCCACATTCTTACGGTCTAAGCCCAATAACATTTGGCCAAACAGGAGCCTAGATACGTAAGGAGACAAAGATTTTGCAAAGTTATTGCACCATACATCAGCTATCAATGAGGCTCTCACAGCATTAAATGCGATAACCTCCTCGCATCGGAATATACAGACTTACCATGAATAACGCAAGCTAGAACGTAGACTTTTGGCCAGCACGATAGGCTGAAATGGACAAGGAAATGATGAAAAAAGGATAAAAAGAAGTTTTCGAGACACATCAAAGGTTAAGTTTTTTTATCTCTCCTCTTCCCCCCCTTTCTCTCTATATAGTTAATCTTATCTATACTAACTTGATTGCCGGAGTGTCTGTCGGGGGGATTATCTCCTCCATTGGACCTTTTTCAGGGGTGCTCCACGGACCTCAGGACCAGTAAACCCGTTGGGAGCTCAGCTCAGCCCGATCTATCTCCCGTCAGAAACATGTGGGAAACTTCGTTTCGGAAAGGCAGTTGTGTTCACTGTCGCTGGAAGGAGCCTTGTCTTTATCCTACGTCAAAAGTGGATGGTCACGACTAGATTCATGGCTTCCCAATACAACACTGGTAACCCCGAAGCTGAGCCCTCCAACCCAAATAACTCACCTCTATATTTCGCAGAACTTACCAACAGTATCAACCGACTGACTACACAGAAGTAGACATTTCACACATTAGTCCCATGGGATACCAATTTTATGGAAATAATCCCCTCTAGGATTGTTTAGTCCCTCATAAGAGAAATATGGAGTCTGACCAGACTCCATGTCCGGCAAACTAAATTATTAATAAAAAATAATTTATTAACAACAATCCGAATCAAACGATGAATAAACAAACGATGGACTAAATTAATAATTTATTATTAATTTAAAAATAATTTAAATTAACAACAATCCGAATCAAATGATGGATAAGCAATAAAAATTATAAATTATAAATTATAATTATAATTTTAATTTATAAGGTCATAATTTTTAATTAAATTAAATTTATAATTTATAATTTATATTTTTTTATTGCTTATCCATCGTTTGATTCGGATTGTTGTTAATTTAAATTATTTTTAAAGTAATAATAAATTATTAATTTAGTCCATCGTTTGATTCGGATGGTTGTTAATAAATTATTTTTTATTAATAATTTAGTTCGTCAGACTCCATATCCCTCATATGATGGACTAAACAATCCCAGGGGTGTAATTATTTCCATGGGATTGGTATCCCATTGGACTAATATATGAAATGTCTATTTTACCGTCATACTATTACTTAGTAAACAATTAGAAAATTGGGAATTAGAATCCATCAGACTTAAATCCTATGACTGTGAATCTCTCGGATGATTTGGTTGGATTTGATGTGTATCCCGTGTTTATTTTCTCATAGGATTAGATGTTTGGAAAAGATTATTTTTAGTAAATCTAATATTTGTTTGGATGGACTGGATAAGGATAAATATGCAAAAAAATGAAATATCAATAAAAATATATGTTATTTTTTTAATTAAAATTTTAAATAATTTTATTTTTAAAAATAATAATAATTAAATAATAAAATTAAATAAAACAGAAAGTCAAAATTGTCTTGTGCGTGCCTTGCACGCGTGGAATTTCCATCCAAAATCCCAACGACGATTAACTATTGGACCAGTTTGAGCCATAAACCAAACTGTAGGGGCAAAATTGATACATTTAAAACTGTAGGGACCAAAATAAAATCACGAGTAAACTATAGGGACAATTTTTGTAATTTATTCATTATTTTTTGTAGCTTAAAGTCCTATAGAGATACTTCCATAACAGCAATGCTACAGACCCCCACTGGGGATGACCCCCAGTGATCCCCCAGTGCCACGTGTCGGCCTGGGGTTGACTGAAAACTCAAAAAAAAAAAAAACTCAAAAAAAAAAAAAAAAACTGTTTTTTTTTTGGACCAATGGGAGGTGGCCCCAGTACCCCACTGGGGTCCAAAGCTTTATTCCTTCCCTAAAATGAACCTGATCGCGACATAAACGATAGAAATTTGAAAGCAAAGCAGGTGAACCTTGATAATCGCATAACAATTTACCACATTCCGTTAAGTAAACATTGGAAATTGTTTTTCATAGGCGTTATTGCCCCCTGATACCTTTCCAAAGTATTGAATAATTTGATTTAACCTGAAATTCCTTTAATAAACTAACAAAATTTATAAAAAAATTACATTAGATGAAAAAAAAAATTAAGACTTTGGTTTACTTTTTGAATTATGATTTCAATTTTGCAAAAGATAAAAAAATTTTGGTTTTGAGTTTTGAGTTGTATTTTTAAATTTTTTGGGTTTATATTTTTTAATATTTTAAAATTTTCTTAATTTTTTTAGGATAAGTATTTTTTATTATTTATTTTTTTAATGTGAGCTATAATTACTATATTTGTGCACAATATTTTTTTTAAAAATATTGAAATTTTAAATATATATATTTTTAAAAATTTTAAATTTTTTTGAATCATTCGTATATATCTAAATTATAACAAATTATTTAGTCAATACTTAAAAAATAAAAAATATTTTTTTCAAAGACATAAAAAAATAAAAAATATTTTCTTGGAAAATATAAATAAAAATTACTTTTGAAAAAACAAAAAAGAAAAAACAATTCATAGAACAAAATAAAAATATTTTTTTGATTTTTTTTTTTAAATATAGTTTTGTAAAGAGTTTGGTTAAGAGCTTTGAATTTTTTTGATTCAAATCATGATGTGAGATCTAAGTCAAATGTTACCTAAGTTTTTGGAACCATTTTTGTTTGGAATGATCTAAATAAGTGTACTTTTTGTCTTTTTATGAAAAGATGTACAGAAAAGTAGAGAGGTGATATAATGGAAAAAAGATAAAAAAATGGATTATTTTTTGGTTGCCAAACTTGGATTGTTTAGAAAAAAATTTCAGAATATTATTTTGAAAAAAATGGAAATTAATTTAATAAAAATATATTTAATTTGTAAAAATTATTTATCACTTCTCAAAAATAAAATTATATAAAATGATAATTATTTATTATTTTTTAATTTCTTAACCAAATTAATTTTTAATTTTTTTAAAAAAAATTCTAAAATAAATACTGAACAAATATTGATTGACTTCACATAATGTGTTAACAAAATATCATTATTTCTTTACATAACACAGTGAAGGGCATTTTAATTAATTTATTATCTCTATCAATTGCATTAATTACAATGAGACAAGATGTAATTTTTAAAATCTTAAAAACAAATAAAAATAAATAGTAATTTAGTTAAATCTCAATTGTCAAGTGAGTGCAGCTAACTTGCCTTAACAACAACAATAAAAAACTCTAATTTTCAAATTTTAAAGAGAATTTTAATATGTGATAAGAGAAAAAATATATATACTCATTTCGTCTCAAAATATTAGTCTCTTATTTTATTTTTTATTATCAAAAAATGTTAGTCATTTTTTAAAAATCAAGTACAAAAATAATATAAATTTCTTATTTTTTCATTTTTTAAATTCATTAACAACATAAAAAGTACAATTATGCCATTAATATTCAAAAAAAAATGTACTATCAAAAGGTAATTTTGAAAAATTATTTATTTTTTTAAGTAAAATAATTTTACTACAAAAAAAAGTGGAATTCTCCAAAAAAAAAAAAAATATTTTAAAACAAAAAGAATATAAATATACACATTACATCATATATGAATCTCACTCCTTATCACATCACTACAACTTTATTTAAAACTTTAAAATTAGAAATGTCAATATTTATTTTAGATAATATTAAAAATATTAAATTTTTTACCAAATAAATAATCAAATAATTTACATAAATATAGGATTCATAATTTTATAGTCTCCGCACTCGTGAAAGATATTTACTCATATATTTAATAAAAAATTTACGACATGCAGCATTTTCCTTTATTCTTGCCCTAAAAACACAAATCGCTTCGTACAGTGTCAGCGAATTTCTCTCTTTCTCTCTCTCCCTCTCTCTCTCTCTCTCTCCGCGTCTCTCAGTTTTCTCTCAAATTTTCCCCCAACAACACCGCCCTTTTCAAGACGCAGAGTCCTTTTTTTGTCTCTCTTCTTCTCTGTCTATTTTGGTGTGTTAGGGTTAGGGTTTCCCAAGGCGTGTCCATTTTGAAGACCGAGATGTTGCTCAAAACTCCCAACTCTATCTCTACCTTCTCCGTATTAGCTCTCAGAGGACTTTCTAGGTCTCAAGCATGTCTTGAATCAACTCTGTAAGGTAATCCCCATTTCATTCCATCCGCGCACACACCACATATATACACACACACACGCACGTCTCATATTTCATTGAGGCACACTATTTTACTTGAATCTTCCATGTTTTGTTGGGTTTGTGTTTGTCTGTATAGTCACATGAAATTTGTGGAGTATTACAAGGATATGAATTACTCTTATTTATTGTTAAGAGACTGCTGGCTTCTTATTGCTCGAACAGTTTGTTTAGTGGTTTGGGGAGTTTTAGGGTTTTGCGCGGTTTTGTTTCTGTAATTGTACTTTGGGGAGCTGCATTTAGTTCTATGACCACGAAGGCGCCGATATAGGTTCTTGCTTGGCAATGAAATTTAATTTTGAGGGGTGTGCTTTATTGGAATGGTCATTATGGTGTGAATTAGAATGGGATGATGCTCCAAACTTTTCAACTTGTCTTTGTTTACCTTCCACCGATTGAATTTTAGGCTTTCTGAAATTTGTGTGCGTGCCCTAATCTTTTGGAAGGTCTGATTGTTGAGTTTAGCTGACATTTTCACCTGTGTTGAATGGTAATTTATGTATGGGGTTCCATTTAGTTATGGTAAAGAATGAAGGTGAAAGGAATGCCCTTAAAAATTGCTTATTTTCTGTAGCATTTTTAAAAATTTGCATTTGGGGATTCATGTATGTTTGTGCTGGTGGACCTGCTTTTTTTTTTGTCTTCTCTTTCTATTGGTTGATATTCAATACTTATTTATTGTGTACATTTGTTTATCTACTTAGTATGGTGTTGGTATCATAGATATGAAGCTATTTTAGGCAATTCTTTGGATGTGAATATGAGGTTTTCTTTGATTTATATCCTTACATTTGACATTGAGGTTCCTCTTGCATTTTGTTTGCTGTAACATGAAGCTGCTTTGATTTTTCATCTATGCCCGTGACATTAAGGAGAATGAAAATGAGAATCAGCCTGTCTACATTTTCTTTGATGTTAATTTTTAAAACTCTATCTTAGTTGTTATATATTGGAGTCCTGTGTTTGCTTACGCCATATCAAATCTGTTTCACAGCAGTGGCAGTCCCTGGGATGGAAATGTATAATGTTTTTGATGGAAATGCAGAAACATATCTGGTAATTCCTCAGCAATTGCTCTTCTTTCGATCAAATGAAGACCTATTTTGAACGGTTTGGCAAGGCTGAGTCTTCATTATGTGTATCTGTCATTTTGTTTATAACAGAATATATAATCAAATCTCATGTCTTGGCCTTTTAGATTCAAGGCACCGAGCCAAACTCACACCTAACAAGTCCACCTGTTGAACAACTTGACGCCATGTATAAGGAAGGAGCCCCAGAGTTTGTAGTTGAACAAGGCTTGTATTACCCTACTGCCACCAATTATGGGTACATCTGTACAGGTAAATTTTTATCCACTATCCTATTTTAGATTAGGATGCTAATTTGTATTGTCTCATTTATGTGTTACATTGACTCGATATGATCAGGATTTGAATCACCCAGCGATTGGGATGACCACCATAGGATTTTTGGTCTGGATGGTCAAGAAGTTCAGTATGCGGTTTGTATCATCTCTTGCTTTTTGTTTTTCAAACACGAGTTCCATATTGTTTGTAGTTTTGCTTAATGGATTTTTTTCCTTTTCTTCTTCAGGGTGCACAAACTGAAAGTTTGCCTTATGTATATTATACACCTAGCTATGGATATGCACAGTCTCCATATAACCCATACAACCCTTACATTCCTGGTGCTATGTTAGGAGTTGATGGCCCATTTGTAGGGACGCAACAGTATTATGCCATCCCATCTTATGAAAACCCTTTGTCTTCGCCTTCTGGGTTCCCCATGGTCATCCAATCTGGGCCAGAGATGATCTCAAGTAGTACAACTGAACCCTTCTTAGATACTGGTGTATTTACTGCACATAGAACTGATGGGCCAGGTCACAATAATCTGTCTCCAGCATCTGCAACTTTACATACTGCCTCAAAGCCTGCTTCAAATCAGGCACGTTCCTTTGCTAGGGTATCAGGAGGAGTTAAAGCTAATGCTGGACCAAGTAAGCTACCTGCACCACACGGAAATGTTACATCCAGTAGTTTTTCCAGTCTGGCATCATCACAAGTACATCAGGTGTGATCTTCTGCTCTTTTCAGATAATATCCAATAGATATCCTTCATTTTTTGAGAAAGCATGGAAGTTGTGCAATCATGTACTTTTGAATAAGTAGATTCATTGTGTTCTGTACCATGCTGTCCATTAAATATTTTAGTTTGTAATCATTTTGTTCTGTACTATGCTGTCCATCCTCTTGTAAGAATATGGTACTTGATCCTTATGACCCATGCCATTAGACTGCAAATCAAAAAAACAGGATATCATCCAGCATCAAAAAGATCTTTAATTGTTGGTTGCGAATGTATATGTTAGCTTAATAGTCTGCTTTGTTGGAGAGAAAGCAATAAAGGAAAAAATGATGATTTTTTTTTTTTTTTTTTTGGGGGGGGGGGGTCGGGGTTGGGGTTGAGGGGTTCAAGCAATGTTTTTAAAAGGCGCGCGAGGCGCAACCTTGCGCTTCAAACAGGTCGAGACGAGACGCAATATGTAAGGCATAGCTTAGGCGAGAGCTATTTTTCGAGGCATGATGCGTTGGCTTCACGGGCTTTACCTATTTTTCTAATCTAACTGTTGATTAAGTACTTTTTTTGTGGGCATACCCGTAGGTAATCAAAATTCTTCAATATAAAATGACCAAACCTGGTCAAAAGCGAGCAGAAAGTGATTTTAAAAAAAAAATTCCTAGGTGGAGAAGATTAAAAAAAACAATCAGAAAGTGAGAAGATGACACGACTTCGGCTTATTCTTCAGCTTTTTCTCTTCTCTTCTTCTTTGTTGGTCCTCTTTCTCATATTCGATGGGTTATCTCTCTGCTTCTGTTTTTTCTTCCTTTATTTTTATTCTCTTCTTATTTTCTTGTTCTCTTCTTCGATGGGTTCTCTCTTCATCGGTCTGCCTCTTTTTTCCTTCCTTATTTTTCTTCTCTTCTTTTCTTATTTTATTCTTCTCTTCTTCTTTTCTTCTCTTGCTTCTTCGCTGGTTTATCTCTATGTTTTTTCTTCTCTATTATGATTGTGAAGCTTGCTTTATGATTTTTGAAATTCTATATATATTTTTTTTGTTGAAAAGTTTTCTTATTTTGTAATTTTGCTTTTCTTCTACTACTTGCGCCACGCTTTGGAGAGGCTCGCGCCTTGCTTTGCGTCTCGCTCTTAGGCTATTGGAGACCTTATCGCCTCGGTGCGCCTAGAACCTTTTAAAACATTGGGTACAAGAACTTTCCTTTAATTGGTTAGGTGGAGGAGAGGAGCGAGCTCCCCCCCAACAGCAGAAAAGGGGATGGCCAGGCTGTTCTCTGTTTTTGAAAATGTGAAGTTGTACTGTTGCCCCTCTGAAGTTGGCTCATGCTTATAATTGAATGTCCTATGTTAAAAATATCAGACTGATTTTCTCTTTTTCTTCCCTTCAACCAACAAGAAGGAAACCCACAATGCTTCCCCTTGGCACCCCCTTCCTGCCAAAAGTAGCAAGTTTTTACAATCATGGTCTTTTATTGCCTTTTGGCATCATTTTACCAAGTTTGTTTTCTAACTTTTGTGTTTACAGGGTAGGGGTGCTCAAGCTGTAGATAACATTTCATATGGTAAGGCTTTGTCTCATCGTAACCAACTAAAAATGGCTCTCACTTCTAGTAATGGCTTATCTAATTTTGGGTCAAGTGCTCATGGAGGAGCCGCAGTGGAAAAGATTCGGTCCAAGTTCCATTATGGTAGAGTATCGAATGATGTGAATGGAAGTCCAGATGCATTGACTGAACAAAATCGAGGCCCTAGAACCAACAAATCCAAGAATCACTTGGCTGTGAAAGCCTACACAACCAGAGCTGGAGAGAGTGATGCACAAGGAAACATCATTATCTATACTGACCAGTATAACAAGGATGATTTTCCAATAGATTATGTGAATGCGAAGTTCTTTGTAATAAAATCATATAGCGAGGATGATGTGCACAAGGGCATTAAATATAATGTTTGGTCATCTACTCCCAATGGAAACAAGAAGCTGCAGAGTGCATATGAAGATGCACAGAGAATAGCCTCCGGGGAACCAAGAGGCTGTCCTATCTTCCTGTTCTTTTCTGTGAGTGATGTTCCACTAATTTTGTCCTTTGCTCTGAAATATTATATTCCACAAGTTTGTTTGTTAAGCAATTATATTTGTTTTAAAACACGTTTGTGCTCTTTATTTCATTTTGCTTGACTTCCTTAGCCTGGCAGGTTTTAATTTTTTTTAAATTTATTTTGATTTTCTATTTTCTAAATGCAGGTTAATGCAAGTGGCCAATTCTGTGGTGTTGCAGAAATGACTGGCCCTGTTGACTTCCATAAAGATATGGATTTCTGGCAGCAAGATAAATGGAGTGGAAGTTTTCCTGTGAAGTGGCACATTATAAAAGACGTTCCTAACCCCAATTTTCGGCACATCATTTTAGAGAACAATGAGAATAAGCCTGTAACTAATAGCAGAGATACACAAGAGGTTTGTTTGGCTTGATACCTAATAATACTTTTTACATTTTGATTGTGCACCTATCACTTGGTCTTGTTTGGTTTCATTGATTTTGATGGAAGATAATCGAGTAAATGCACAATTGGTAGTTGTGGTGATCTCAAAAAACTACGAGGTTTGAAAAAAAGAAAGGAAAAAGAATAAAATAACCAAGAGTAACTTAAGTAGTCTAGAGGGATATATATGAATCTTCAACACTCTTAAAGAGTGTATTAATTGACATTGAATCGCAACCAAGCTAAGTACTGTGATCAGTTTCGCTTGCTGCAGTCCTTTCCCCCAGGCAATATCTGCAGTTGGATTATAAAGTTTATATCACCCATGCTCTTTTCGTGCCTAAATTTTAATATTAGCTCCTTCAGTTTGAGCAATATCACCTCCTTATTGACGTTGTCTTTGGGCTTCATTACACGTGACGGAACTGTCATAGTTACATTTGGTTTAGAAGTTCCAGCCAATGTGTGCATTTTTTTGTCTATTTTTGTCTGTTGTTTCTTACTACTATGTTTCCTCTGTGTGGATTCTTGAAGTTGTAACTAGCAGCTAGTTCACTTCCCTTTGCCCTTCCGATGTTCTTGTGGACTAATATTTGGATCTTACTCTAGAAAAGATTGATATCTGCATTTGAAACAGAGAGTTCATTACCATACTCTTTTCGTGCCTAAATTTTAATATTAGCTCCTTCAGTTTGAGCAATATCACCTCCTTATTGACGTTGTCTTTGGGCTTCATTACACTTGACGGAACTGTCATAGTTACATATGGTTTAGAAGTTCCAGCCATTGTGTGCATTTCTTTTTTTTTTTTCTTCTGTTGTTTCTTACTACTATGTGGGTGTTTGGGAAGTGGATTTTTTTGTAAGTTTTTTTAGTTGTATTGTAGGATATTATTGGAGAATTTTTTTTGTGTTTGGGAAGATAGTTGGATTTTTTTGTGGTTTGATGTGATGTTTGTGAGAGAAAAAATGAAATGATTATAGGGTTTGATGGGATATTTTGTTTGGATTTGTTTTTTTTGGTTTTGTAAAACATTTGTCTTGTAGTGAAAAAAAACAAAAAAAAAACTCAAAAACCAAGTTCCGAAACACCCCCTATGTTTCCTCTGTGTGGATTCTTGAAGTTGTAACTAGCAGCTAGTTCACTTCCCTTTGCCCTTCTGATGTTCTTGTGGACTAATATTTGGATCTTACTCTAGAAAAGATTGATATCTGCATTTGAAACAGAGAGTTCATTAACTTTATGTCTGTTTTATGGCTGACTTGAATATGTGGCTTTTAATGGAAAATTAGTATTTTATTTTTTTTGACTTGTTTGTCTGGTGTTACAGATTAATTTTTTTGGTCTTGGTTGAACATGACTATGAGGTAGTACATTTTGTCCTAGTTGGCAGTTTTTTGATAATCTTGTTTTATGTGCAGATAAGGTGTAGGCAAGGTATTGAGATGCTTAAAATTTTCAAACTTTACACATCGAAGACATCTTTACTTGATGACTTCATGTACTACGAAAATCGACAGAAGATATTGCAGGAGGAGAAAGCTAGGTTACTGATCAAAAGCTACGGAAGTTCATTCCTTTTACCTGCATTGGATCCACCTAGGAAGCAAAATTTTCTGGTTGACATGCCTTCTGTTGAAGAGGAGAAAACTACCAAGCCTAATGAGCTTAATAGCTTGGGAAAGGCTGTAGACTCTGTCACTGGGCAGGTTTCTTTGGATTCTGATTTCAGCAGCTCAAGTATTGCCAAGGAAAACATTAAGCATATTGTGGGTGAAGCAAAAAATGATATTGTATCTTCATTAAAGATTGGCTCACTCACTATCATCCCAAAGCAAGTTGAATCTGAACCTTCGGAGGCTTTGTCTACTGTTGCTAAGGTAGTAGATGCTAAACCTGCGAATGTTGTCACAGTAGGCTCGATGCCTGTTAGAGTTAATGGTTACGCAGACTCTTCTGGTTTCTTAACAGTTGGGACTATCCCACTTGATCCTAGAGCATTACAGCTTGATGCAGGAGGGGTTACTAAAAGCGGATCTCAACATCGATGATGTGGAGTTAATATCTTCATTATCTGGAAGTTATTTGTGCCGGAATATGTGTGACAAAGTAGTATTGGCTCGGACTAGCAGAATGCCAAGTCTTTGTTATGGTTTAGGTCATGTGTACCACTATTTAGTTCATCTTTGTTGTTTCTTTTACAAGCCCTACTTTTGGGTTGGTCTGCTGAAGAAAGTTTTGTTCAGCAGTTACTGTTGTCTTGGGTTTTTGTGGGGGATCATGGTGGTGTTGTCTGATTTAAGTGGAATGAATACAATTGTCTAAACCTTTCCTTTTCAATTTTTTTATTCACCTTCTATCAATGAATTCAAGATACAGATTATTTTCTTTTTCTTGCCAGTTACCATTTGTTCTTGGAATTTCGGCTCTATTTTTATCTCTCTTTATCCTTTTCTCTGCTGTGCTGTGCATTTACAAAGAATTTTTTTTGGGGGGAGATTCATTTATATATTTATATGGAATGATTAGTGTCTCTTCATTATATCAAAAGGGTAAAACTTGTTCTATGCTTTAAGTATCCAAGTAAATTTGGAAGTGAAGAACCAAAATGAAAATAAAATAATTGGAAATGTTATATAGATGTTCCTTCTATGTTAATTATTAGTTGAATTGATATGCATTGTAATTCTTTTATTTGATTCTATTTGCTCTTGTAGCCATATTGGTTGAGATAGAGCTTTTTTTGTTTTGTTTGGTGGGAAGGTTGAGATAGACTTTGAGAAACCATCAGTCCAAGACTCTGAAGTTTCCACTTTCGAAATTTGCTCATACGTATCCTTCATTAATAATTGCTGCATCCTGAAGATTTGCCTGTAGGGATGGGTGGGTTGAAGACTGCAAGGAAATGAGGGGAAAAAAAAGGGGAGAGAGAGAGAGAGAAGCTATTGTTTTTTTAGATCAATTTTAACTTTGTAGTGTTACCGGTTCTTTAAAATTGGGGTAGAAAAGGAAACAGGAAAGTAAAATAGTTGTGTTAATTGGTTTTATTAGCAATATTTTTGTTAGGTGTTTTTTTTCGTCTTTATTATTTTTTAAATAAAAAAATTCATTTACTTTTGACTTTATGCTTTTAACTAATGCATCACAATCGAACTCAGCATACTGTTAAAATTTTATCACTACAACATAAAAAAATATTAGTCTTAAAATATTATGTGATATTATTTTTGTAGTAAATAAAATATTACAAAATATATTGAGTGGGTCATTCTTTCTCGACTCTCTCAATTACTTAATAAAAGTGAATCAACATTATTCAATTTGTAAAGTTGTCCACTAAATCATTGATTGGCACATAAATTTTTTTACTAAATCATTGATCGAGAATACATCACATAATATTTCGAAATCACTCAATAATTATATCCTATGACATTGTTGGTGTTAATAATGTCACATTAACTAAATTTTGAATATATAAATTTGTCACCAATATCATAAGCTTATCAAACCTATCTTTCACATTAGAGGTATTGAATTTTGGTTGTATGTAACGATGGCTATTTCTCCCCCACCTTTCACATTAGAGGTATTGAATTTTGGTTGTATATAACGATTGCTATTTCTCCCCCACCTTGTATTGTACCCCTTAAACTTGATTACATTTATTTGTTTTATAATTTAATTTTTTAAAATATACTAAAATTAAAATATTATTTGAAACATTTATTTTTAATTTCTCATTTTTAAGTCTTGCCACCTATAAATTATTATCTGTAATATATGATATTATTTCTCATTTTATTAATAGAAAGTTGGTGAAAATTTTACTTTAACAATTGTCTAAGGCATTAGGTCCAGTGATTTATTTTTTTTGTTGGTGAGAGATCCACACTTTGTAAAATAGTTTGGTGAGAAGTCATGGAAGACATTTTATTTCTAATTTTGCCCATTGACTTTTTTTTATCTGTTTGATTTTTCATTGACTATTTGGTCAATTTTTTTTTTGTCTATCTGTTTAATTTTTTAATCTTTTCAATTCAAATTTCTTTTGTCTGTTCAAATATTTGTCTATATAAAATATATCTATTCAAAAAGTCTACATGTTCAAATTATCTGTTGAAATTCTATAAATTTTTTATCTGTTGAAAATGAACTTGAACCTAAATTGAATCTATAAATAATTAAATTTCACATTACATTCATAAAATTAAACAGATAAAATCGGCTATCTGTGCAATTTTTACTCTTCAAATCTAATTTCTCTCTCATCTCATCTCCCTTATTTGTTCCAATGCTTTGAATGTCTAGCCAAAGAAAAAGATTTCAACCTATATGTTCTCCACTCTTCCCTAAACAAAACTTCATCAACAACAACATTAACAGCAACAACCTATCTGTTCAAAGCACTACAACAGATAATGACACACACATATAAAGAGATAACCACAGATAATCATGTATAAAAAAATAGATTTCCATAAATCACAGAGGTGCTACCAAATTTGGTCACTCCAATCAAATCTTTGCCGTGCTCGACTAGTTGAGACAGATCTTCTTAGCTTATTCTATAACCCTAGCAGCAATCTTCTTCAGATTGGCTTCGATGTAGGGCAAAACATCAGCAACCCTTGCAATTTAGAACAAAAATGTTATAAAAAATGTTCTCATACATAACCGTATTCGAAAATGACCTTTTCACCTTGTTCTCATGATCTATCTCATCGTCAGAATCATTTGAATTCCTCGAAGTGCTTTGGCGACGCTGACTACGATAGTTGAGACTCTGGAGAAAGAGATAAAGGCAAATCAGAAAATGAAGGTAGCGGCGAGATCAACACAGATCGATTGAGGAGCAATGGCAGTGAGATCAACACAAATCGGTTGTTCATTTGATGTTAGCCAAGTTGGTGAGGCCTTGGTGTTGGAGTGTCAAACGACGACGCCGGAGAAATAGACGAGGCGGAGGTTGTCATTGGCGAGGAACTAGAAGGAGGCGAAGGAATTGGTAGCGCTAGAACCACCGCCGACCTTCAAAACGGAGACGTTGTTGTAGGTAATGGTAGCGATGCGAGAGAGAGAAAAATGACATATGAGAGAGAGAGAGAGAGAGAGAGAGAGAGAGAGAGAGAGATGGATTTGATAGGTAACATACGTGATTTTAAATATATGAGGGGTAATTTAGTCATTGTGTAATAAATATCTTTATGAACATAATAATTTCGCGCTTGAACCTTTAGATAAAAAAAAAATTAAATTTATACTTTTAGATCTTTTATTAATATTATCGTTCATAAAAGGGATAAAAAAATTAACCTACTCCGCTCTCACCCTTCCCTTCTTAATTTACCCTGACCCCACCCCTAGGTTGTTTGCCCAAAAATAAAAAATAAATAGTTGTGCCTTAATTAATAGAGAGGATGGATTTGAAGGCAAAACATTGGGTAATTCTATTTCCACACACCAAAACATCTCATTCCACATCCTCTCTCAATACACATACCAATTAATTTTAAATTTTACTCAATGTACAACGAACTAGATAGAAAGCAAAACCCACATTGCCATTGAAAACAATAATTATGTACAAAACCCAGTTCTATAATCAGAACCAGCAAGAATGTATATATATGTATTATTATATGCAATAGGGGTCAAATTTGGATCTGAACCATCAAAATGCAAGAAAAATCCACGTGTAATCTAGTGCCAATCATGCGATTAACGACATTGTTGCCACCTCCACCTACTCCGACGACCTTGATCTTGGCTACGTCCATTGGAGTAAACGAGCTACTACAAGTACAGTAACGCTTCGAGGGACTTCGACGACGAGCTTGGAAGGAGAAACATGTTCTTGAGACGAATGAAGAGAAGGTTTTGTGGTTAAACCCACTGAAAATTGAGGAGGAAGAAGAAGAACACATTATTAACTCAGCTAGGTTTGTGAGTTGAAAGGTAGCCATTTGTGCAACTGTTTGGTTTCCAAGAAAATGAGGACAGAGAGTGGGAATGAGAATTTGTTTTCTCTACTGAGAGAGAGAGTGATCGGAGGTCTAGGGTTTCAGAATTTGACGATTTCGAAAATTTTTCCGCAAAAACGTTAAAAGGTCTCGGCGGTGGCCAGTGATTGGGAGAAGGTGGAGGTGGTAGCGGTGGCGGAGGTGATGATCTAGGGGACAGCGGAGGAGGAAGAGGAAGAGGAAGAGGAAGGGAAGATCCAATGTCAACAATGGTAAATCCATTCAACAACGATCAAAGTGTGTGCACAGAGGAGATGAAAAAATTAGGATTGGTGGAAAAGATAAGAACACTTTAATAATTTTATTTTAAGATAAAATTATAATAAAAAAATAAATTATTAAGTGTGCACAGAGGTGGGTGAGTGTGTGGATAGAATTTTTTTTTTTTTATCGGTTAAACAAAACAAACAAAAACCAACCCATTAACGGTTAAAAATTCCCATCAACCACCTAAAATTTACCGCAGTCTCCCCCACACATAAATGACAAGCGCGATACATGCATCAGCTCAGGCCCCACACACTGTCTTCCATAATTTAACTACACAAAATAATATCAGATCAGATAGATATCCTCACTCACTCACTCACTCACGTACGGAAATGAGAGTACCAAGCCCGTGAGAGAGAGATCACAGTGACTCGGAGTCTTCTTCTTCGTTCCTTCCGAGTTCTCTGGGACTCCAATTTGATCTATAATTGCAGTCAGGTGTACTCGACGCGCCGCTCTTCTCGACTTGGATTTGAGGTCTCCGGTGAAATCTCCGATCAGCTACATCTCTTACTCTTCTTCTTCTTCTTCTCCAGGTATCGATCATGATTTCTGATCTTAATTCTTCAAAATTTGTGCTCGATTTGCTGTCGACTATGGTCTCTTTGCTCTGCTTTTAATTTCCATTCCTCGTTTTTTTTCTCGTTTCTTGACTTTTTCTTCTCTCTCTCTCTCTCTCTCTCTCTCTCTCTATATATATATATATATATTTATACACATGCATATTCATGTATTTATGTCCGTGATTGATGTAATTTGGTTGAGGCGGCAATGGTCAAGTCGAGTAATTTTGTTTGCGGTTATTCAGAGTGAGGTATTGGTACCAAGGATTTGTGAATTTCTGCGATTGTTATCTCTGGATCAGTAGCGGAATTCATAAATTGTGCAAAGGGAGGTAGAAATATTTAGATTTGGAAGGATCGGAGTAAAATTATATAGATTTTGGGGGCCAAAATGTTCATTTCTTGTGATCTTGAGTGCTTGATGAAGGCTCAATCCAAACAGCACACAATATTTTTCTCGAATTTTGATCTGAAACGAATCCAAACAGCATGCGCTTGTTTTTTTGTGTGAAAGGACTGGAATATTTCTTTACAATATGGATTCTTGAAATTTGTGTGTAATCAGCTAACCATTACTGTGAAAAGCTTTGGTACATAACTTACATCTATGTTGGTGTAGAATGGAAGAAAAAATATATTCATGTAGCCGACTCCAATCGATTGGGACATATGGCTTGGTTTGGATAGTTTGCACAAAAGAGAATTTTGCTCAATTGAACCAAACACGGCCTAAAGTTATTCACTTTCATACCTTATTCCTTTCCCTTTCCTCCGGCATGGTGCAGTTGCCATAGTAGATTTGGTTTCCAACAGACATTGTGCTTCAACCATAGTACACATGAACTGCGTTGTGAATGCTGAAGTTCTAAAAGTTGCATGTTTCTTCATTCCATGTGTAGGCTGATTTGATTATTTCTTTTGCAGAGACTCATTGCAGTTTGTGGTAGTATATACACTACTTCTGTCTAGCTTTGCCGCCAAGTTTTTTTGTGTCAATATGGTATATACAATCATTGGCCATTAATTTTCTTCTAATGCAATTGAATGTATTCACACACCCTATCTCTTACTTTTGTTTTATAGCATGAGATAACAGAGTTTACAGACAACAGAAATTCATCGGAACAGGACGGTGAGGCAGGGACCATGCCAAAGAATGATATTTTGGACTTGCCACCAGATAAAATCCACTCAAGGCATATTGGGGTATGTCCCACTTTTATAGATAATTGATTATTCTTTTGCTTATTTGGATCTTTTAATTTTCCTACTTTGTTTTGTCATGTCTTATAGTAGTTATATTTAATTAGTGTTTATTTTGAGTCCTTTATTTTGGTGAATCATTGTTTTAATTGTTTGTTATGGATTATAGGATCATTGCAAAAGCTATTTGGTCGCTTTCACAGCAAATCATAACAATAAACAGCTTCATTTGAAAAGCTGTAGAAGCACCAAAAAAACAGAATGAGCGAATACATGTTCCAAACCATGAAAATTAATGATTTTACAAGCCATACTTATAACACTTACAACTCCGCATAAAAGATGCTGGATAAACGAAGAAAATGAAACTAGAAAATTAACACCCATTTTGCAGTGTCAAAATGGGTATGACCTGCTGGTTCTTCTTCCATGTGGCAACCTTTTTACTGAATAATTCGTTGGGCAATAGTGAGCTATTCTATGTTTTCCCATATGTATCTAAAAAGCATTTATAATCTCTGCTGCTGCTACCATCCATAGAGAAAAATGCTATGAATGCAGATGCAGGCCTTCATGTGGTTTCCATTTAGAGTCTGCTACCCAATGGAAAATATACTTATGTCTGACAAAAAAAGTTTTTGTCTATGGCTCTGTGCTATAGTTTCTGATATTTTGCCTGTTTTCTCAAGAGCTATGTTACCTGGAACATGGATCGTTCCGGTAAGTGGAATAGGAATAGGAAGGCGGTACACCACATACTCTAAATTGTAGTACGATAAGAGTAGACTTGTACTATTGTTTACGCTATAAGAATTTAAGGTACTTTTAGTCTAGAATAATCTTTTTTTAACAATTAGACATTTAAATCGCTGAATTTACCGTTTTGATGTATTAAGTAATTTTTTTGAACATGGCAAAAGTTGTAGACACGTTGGATTATGCTTCTCTGTTGGATATCCTTTTATTATAATCCTGTAACTCAGTAAGGAAATGGTGGGTGGCAGTGCTTTTTTTTTTTTGGTCGCATGTTTGCTCCAAATTTTTAATTGTTGCTCTATGTTGCATGGAGGCATACATTTTAATTTGTTTTTTCTTTTAATGCTCATTTATCTAGTTTCCCTATATTGCTAGCAATGTCTAGAATTTTTTGCTGCACACCAAGCATTGTCTTCTTTCGATAATCATCCTCACAAAACTATGGATCAGGTCAAGCACAGGGAACCTTTAGACCTTTTTATACTCTATTCTATGTCTGTTGCTATCTTTGAATAATAAATTTCGTGCATGGATCATGTGTAATTTTGTTTTGGTGTCAATTCTCTGTGCAATAATGAATTTTTGCCACTGGACATTTGGACTGAATTGTTTACTTTTCTTGAAAGTTCATTAGAAACTGGACAGTAAATTTACAACTAATAATTTTATTTTATTTTTTGCTCTTTTTTTTTTTCTTGGAAAATATATATTCTAGGACAATGTTGCAAGCTCATCAGGGACCAATTTAAGATCATCTTTCATAGGGATGGGATTCTCACAATCTCTTGTTGACAAAGTGATTGAAGAAAAGGGTATGTAATGTTGTGCACAAAAGCAAACTTTGTAATGTGATTTTCGTTGTTGATTTTATCCTTTCTTTAATGATCTTGACCAGAAAGTATTTCCTTTTCAATTTAGGTGAAGATGATGTTGACTTATTACTGGAGACGCTCTTTGCATATTCTGTAAGTGAGAACCTTTCTTGTGTGGTGGTATAATGTTAGATTGTTTTAGTTCTCAAAAATATTGTATGAAGGTCTCTATGTTCATTAGTTGAAGGAAAATATAAATAAAATATCGCATAATTAACTTTATATTTGTTTGTTTACTCACTCGCTTTATACTTTTTAGTCACTCATTTTATACTTTTTTAGTTTTATCTTTTTTTCTGATCATCAACTATCTACTTGTTTGTACTCATTATATATATATATTTCTTTTTAGCAAGATACATATAATGATTTACTGTTGATAAAAATAAAAATAACGTATGATCTACTAATGACCCCATCAATAATGGTCCGTAGCCCAACTTGCATAGTTGCTTTTAAGCTTTTCTTGTCTATATACTTACTTTTGACAGAAATATGTGCTGGTAGTATCGAACTCTATTAAGAAATATTTAGATTTGACGTCTAGAATTTATTTATTTTCCCATATTAGTGACATCGCTGCTCTAACGCTTGTCACTTCATTTAGTCTGATCAGCAATTTGTCCTTTCCTTGCCGACTAATGGTCCTTTCACTAGGAAAAATGGTTTTTCCCTCCTGGGGAACTTCACATTGCTTGTCCCTCTATCCTGGGCTCTATGCGTAGTTGGGCCTTTTGTTTTGGGCCCTCCTCTTTGGCCCACTTTATTATGCCCCAATTCAAGTTAGGATTTTTCCACCCACCACACCAAATTTTTTATTAATTTTTTTTTTAAAAAAAAACTTGTGCTAGGAACCATATGCCCATGTGAGTTTCACGTGTATCTAAGCAACATACATGTGTGACCCCCAAAGCATGTCCGATTCGCAATACATTAAAAGAATTATAGCAAATGTTTCAATGTGTGCCTGACACACGTTAGGGCATGATGAGTGTTGGTTTTGTACAAGGACATGCCCCCTTGTTTAAAGTGTCCATGCTTCTTAGATTATTATTCCCTGGACACTGTTCAGAATTTTGTAGCTACCACCATAATACATATTTTATGATCTAATCACTATTTATTCCTGAATTTGAAATATTTCATGCTAATGATTTATTCTTGAATCGCAATTAATTCTCAAATATGAAATTTCTATAGTGATGATTCATTCTCAAATCTTGAATTAGTCACTTCGATTGATTCAGTGAGAAAAATCCATGTCTCTGTTTCTTCCGTGTGTGGGAAGTATTTACTTTTTGTCAACTGAATTATGTACTTCAATGTCAGAACTCGGTGGACCTGACTACTTGTTTTTAATGATTGTTCTGTCTCTGCTGCTTTGTCAAATTTTCCCTTCATTGGTAGAGAGCCAATGATTATAGAGTGATAGTGATACACACATGGATCCTTAATTCAGGAAAAGGAAACCAAATTCCAATGAGGAATCTGCTTTTAGAAATAGAAACAAATTTCGAAATATCTTTTTGTATTTATAATGCAAAATCTAAATAAACCAGTTGTGCCTCCAGAAATTATTTGTATGCATTACATACATTTTATTCAAGTACATCAACTGTGCAATACATTATGCTTTTCACATTTACATAAGAAGCTTTAATGATTAAACATTGCATGCTTTGGAATGAAATAGGCTCTTCAAAAACCACAATCTGAGTCCTCAGATTCTTTGGATGGTTTATTTTGTGACAAGAAGGATGAAATAGCTGCAGATAGTCATCCAAAAGAGGTATGTTGGTGTCATTTTGGCTGTGCAACATAGATTGCTTCTTTGGCATGTATCTTCACAAAGGAAGATGTGGAGTTTTTATTTGACCAATTTGAATAAGTCAAAGGAATTAATATAATAGTCATATTTGTTATAGTTGGTTTCCTTGTGTCAATCAGATTGAACAACAGGAAGATCAAAAGAACATGATGAACATCAATCCGGTTCCCGAACTAGTGACAATGATATTGCAAAATAATCATTTTTAGTTTTTCCTCCATTTATCAATATATTTATTTTTATCTGCTGGAAAATTTTGTCAAGAGTGACAAATTTGCTGATGTTTTGGTTTCATAGTATCTAGTGGAGCCTTTTAGTTGAAATTAATGCCTATTTTGCACTTTGATGGGTTTTTCTTGAAACTTTTTCTCCCTTTTAGAAGACTTGATAAATATTTCGTTGTTTGAATTTTAATCGTGTTATGTTACAGGTCTCTATCAGAAAACAGATATAGTACCTCCCATGCCCCACTGCTAATATGCTAAACAACAATGATTCATCTCACTAATTTGGGAGCACTAATTGACCACTAATGATGTGGAAATTCAAAAAAGAAAAAAAAAAAAAAACTTAAGGCCAAAACATCACATCAATAAGTGGGACCCACCAATTAGTGCTCCCTTTTAGAAGACTTGATAAATATTTCGTTGTTTGAATTTTAATCGTGTTATGTTACAGGTCTCTATCAGAAAACAGATATAGTACCTCCCATGCCCCACTGCTAATATGCTAAATTTACTGAAAGAATGCCCTAGGGGGGTTTGTAACCAAAATATAGTCATAACCAAACTAAGCCAAAACTTATAAAAAAAATTCTATAGTAGGATTCGCACTCTGTGGCCCAAGAGAACAACAATTCAAAAATAAAAAAATATAAAAAAACTTACGGTAGACAAAGAGAACTGCTACCTGACAATGAAACACTAAGAGATGGTAAGAGAATTTGTGTGAAGGCCACTGCAATGAATTGAACACAGCACCTGATTGCAGCAAAATGAATTGCAACCAAACTTTCACTTCTATGATTTTCTTGTAGATGTGAAACTCTTTTTGAGAACATATGTTAAAAAGAAAAGAAGTGAAAGGGATAGCTGAGCCATTCCCCTTTCTTTATGACCTTTTTAGTTGGAAGTTATAATCAGTAGTTGATGACCTGCTTTGAAATGTAACAGGTTCTTCATAAACAGAATTCCAAATCATCAGATTCTCTGGAAAGCTTGTTTGGTGATGACAAGGACACAAGCTGTTCCCCTAACATTGCAGGGGAAATGTGTCCAAAAGAGGTACCGCTTGGGATTTTGTTTGTGTGATAATTGTGCTCATTTGATTTGTATTACAGAAGTGTGCCCAATTTAGTCACCATTGGACGGGGAAAGGAGGGATCGATTTTTGATTTTTTCATAGATAATTTTTATGAATGATGGAAGTTAGCCACTGCATCATGCCATCATTGAGTCCCAGTCATAGTCTTGAGCACTCCACAGTCTTTGGATATTTCTGATGTCTCAGATTTTGTTTGGATCAAAATGTGGATGATGTAATTCTTATAATAATCTTGACCAGGAACATATCTGACTTTGAAAGTGAAACTAAATCATGTTATCTATCTTTTCTTTTATTCCATTATGTTGTTGGCCAAAGTATAGCAGCTTTATTTGGTTATAATTTTATGATAAATGTGAAGTTGATTGTGGTTGTTCTTGTATCATATATTAGCAGTAGATTGCCTATTTCATTAGGTATAACAACTGTCATTTTAGTTATTTTCTTCAAGTTTTTGGATTGTTTAAGTTGTCTTTGGTTTGGTCTAATCCACAGTCCACTGCAGGAGACTGATATACATAATGCAGTAAATGATGACAGAAGAGCATCCTTGCTCATGATGAATTTCTCTCTGGATGAAATCAATTTTGCGATGGAGAAGCTCGGTATGCATTTTTTTTAGCCTTTCTCTGTCCCATATGGGTTTGTGCATTTGTCTTTCTTTCAATAAACTTTCACAATTATATGGAGACTTACTTTCTGTCAGTACAAGTCCCCTTTAGCCATGTCAACATGCCTAGATTTTGGGTGGTTCTTTCTTTAATCCAACACATGTTCAAATTTCCAAATATTAAAATTTATGTGTGTGCTCATGTTTTTTATGCCCATACATCTGCAAAAAATCATCAAGGATTTGCTTCTATATAAGTACTTTATGATTTTCAGTTCAATTTTTTTTTTTTTTTTTTTTTTTTCCACCCAAAAAAAGATTCAAGTTTTTTAAAAGTCTTCTGTTTCTCAGATTCAGTTATACAAACAACTAATATGGTTGGTATTAGTAGTTCATTGTTTTAACATGTGTGGAGTTGTGTTATTAGGGCTCTCTCTCTCTCTCTCTAACTCTAATATCCTAATGCTGTGTATCAGGTGAAGATGCTCCAGTCAATGAACTGGTGGACTTTATCTTTGCTGCTCAGGTATCTGAACACCAAGCACATGATAAGGATAACACTTGTCACGGCAATGAAGAAAGGAACAAGGTCTTTGTTGATGATTCTTTATTATTATTATTTTTATTATATTAATATACATATATATTGAGGACAGGCCTTGGTGTAGCAGTAAGATTGCTCCATGGCAACCTAATGGGTTTGAAACATGGAAACAGCCTCTCCGCATGTGGAGATAGAGCTGTGGACATAGGGCGGGAGCTTTGTATACTAGGCTGCCCTTTATATGCATGCCTACATATTCTATCTTGATAATTTGTTCATTCATTATATCGTGATCCAGTTCACTGCATTAAGGTCATCACACAATATAGTTTGCCATGGTTAGTTTGGTTTGACAAGAATTTGTCTGTCAGTGACCTACAGGTCACTGTTTATTGCTTTTCGTTGTCTATGATAATTATCATATAAGCTCCATTAGTTTAAAATGGTTCAGCCCCGACTTACATTTGTGGTTTAATGCATTACTTTGCAATGATTTTCTTTGGCATACATGGCGTTACCATCTCATATTTGATAGGACTGCAGATGAGGACAATTTATGTGCACATTATGAAGAGAAGAGATGAAAATTGGAAAGATCTTAGATAGATATTGCTCTCCTAAGGAATTATATAAACATAGACTTATGATAGCTCTGTAAAGATAAGAATAATAATTTAGCATTGTGATTGATCTGTACATGCTGGCCAGATCTAGGCGTTACTATTTGGCAAGTTGGTTTGTGGTTAAAATAGCCACAAAAGACAAAATAGGCTATTTTAGCCACAATAAACAAAACATCACATCCAACCCATAATCATTACACTATTCTTTCACAAAAAAATCCAAAAAGCCCTTCCCAAACCAAACTTTTTAGCCCAGGCTAAAATAGTCAAAAAAGCCAAAAAGCCAACCCACTTCCCAAACGGAGGCATATGTTGCTTATGAACTTAGAGGATGATTAGATCAAAAAAGTACTTGACTATTTTTTTTCTTTTTTTTTCTTTTTTTGAATGATCGGCAACAAAAGAAAAAAATAAATGTACTTGGCTTTACATCTAGGGCAAGGTGGATGGGTATAGTTTTAACTTCACGAAGTTGAGCATCAAGTTTAGCAAGTTTAACTGTGCATTAATTCGTTTCTATGTTTTCCTGGATTAATTAGCTTAGTTCTTGAATGTCATATGGCCTATGGTTAGCTAATCCATCTAAATTCTACAGGAAGCTTCTAAGTTGATTACGGACAAGACACTTCGTTTGCTTGAAATGGGATTCTCAGAGAATCAAATTTCTGCAGCTATTGAGAAGTATGGTGGGTAATTATTGCACTAATATTGAATATACATCAATGTTCCATCGGCCTTATGTGCTATTTTTAATACTTTGGTATAGGAAATAAAGCAATTTATGTCCATTTAATTTTTCTTTTCTTCCTCTTTTGTTCTTCGAGCTTCTTCTGTTTTTCATTTATTTATTTTCCTTTCAGTTTCCATTTTTTTAAACCTACTTAAGTGGATGTTTCAATGATCTTAAACCTACTGAAATGGATGTTGCATAAATGACCATTGAACCATTTTTAGTTAGTGATGCAAATGAGAGTTTAAATTCCCTTCTGAATCTACAGCATTCCTTACTTATTTTGTTTCTTGAAGAATTTGTGAAATTTCTATCCAGTTGTGGGTGAGAGGTGTGGTTAGAGGTAGTCTAGGAAGATGGCGGGCACTTCAATGGCCTAAGATCACAGGAGGTGGAGAGGAGGAGGTCAAGGCAAGCTTAGAGAGGGAGAGGTTGGCAGTGATGAACCTTGAACACTGATGTAAAGTGTGAGAGGGGATGTTTAAGTGTGGGATTTAGCGTGTTAGAATTATGGAGTTGTGTTGTTGTTGTGTCTTGCTGCATATACGATACGTTATATAAGCCACAGGAGTATTGAAGCCCAAGAAAACTGTTGAACAGGTGGCTCGTTCTCCTCAACTCTGCCAGAAGTGATATAAGCCCTTCTGCCGTCTGTGGCTTGATGGCAGGCGGAGAGCAACGTTTCATGGCAGGCGGAAAGTAACGTTTTGTATATGCATTGGATGACATGAATGTAAGGTCGTTGTTGCCTCTTCCCCAAGCCTGGTCGAGATGGAGTAGTCTTAGCAAGAAGACAACCATCTTGACGATCCCATGACCTCAGCCGCCAGTCCAATATGCTCTGATGATCCCGAGCAGTGGTGCATGGGCCTTGCTCCCAACCCAGGCATCCAAGTAGGTGAATGGGCCAAGGCCCACCTCAGTGTTTAGGAGAGCTAGGGGCTCGCTTCCAAGCGACCAAGTAGGAGAATGGGCCGCGGACCTATCTCAATGTTTAGGAGAAGGGCTCGTTTCCAAGCGACCAAGTAAGAGAATGGGCCGCAGGCCTATCTCAATGTTTAGGAGAGCCAGTGTTTATCAATTCAAGTCCAAGTGAACCGGGGGCTGATTACGTTGTTGTTTGGTCTTGGAGCGAGCTATGAAGGACCATGGGCCCTGAGGGGCCATGGTACTGCCTGTTGCAGGGCTCTTCATATTTAGATATATTTAGGCTTATATGTATGCTCCCGCTTAGGCTAAGCATATAGTC